GACTCGAAGCGGTTCATCCTTCTCGCGTTTTAAGGCAACACCTGGAGGGACATAAATTCGATGGTGATTCTCCAAAGCAGTGCTGTTGTTCTTCAGCTTTTTGGCCAATGCACTCAAGAAATCAGTCATGAAAACCCAACCAAAGGAGGGGCCATTCCCAATAGTCACACGATTAGGTTCAACAACGATCAACTTCTCCTTTTTAATCAGCAACGAGTATCCAACAGAGCTGTAGTCATTGAAGATAGGGCCAACAAAGACATAAGCATCCGCAGATTCAACAATCTCCCCACAGAAACTAGAGCTCACTGCTCCCCAGTAAGTACCAATGAAATTAGAGTGGTGCTCTGGCACCAGTCCCTTGCCAGATGGCATTACTGCTATTGGGTAGCCACAGGCATCAGCAAGTTCCACAAAAGCCTGTTGTGCTTTTGCCACTCTTACTTTTGGACCTCCCACAATAACTGGTTTTACAGACTTGTTCAAGAACTCAGCTGCTGCTTCAACTGCTGCTTCTAATCCTAGTTGATTGCTGGCCCTGCAAATGCATTTCATCTTAATAAAACAGCCTAATAAACCATCGATTGTTTCGCTAAAAGGGAACAGGAGAGAACATACTTTGGAGAAAGAAAGAATGGAACCGGTTCTCTAGCAAAGGTAGGGTGAGGAAGTCCAGGCAAATTGCAGCTTATGCTAATGTAAGCTGGCTTGCTCTCCTTCAAAGCAGTTGAAATTGCAGTATCAATCAATTCATGTGCATCATGCAAGTTATTTACCACTGCCTGTTACATTATACCAACTTGATCACTTTCAACAAACATCAAATGCAAACTATAAAATTAAAACTTAGTCCCATAAAACAAATCCACTGGACATCTCCAGATACATATGTTCAACTACTAATAGTTAAGCAAAATTACCTAAACCAATGTAGAAGAACTAAACAATTAATTTTTAGGTGGAAGTGCGAACAGGTGTCTCTATTCAAGGATTAAGGCTATTAAGCACATACTACATGGGATCAGAGTTAAACTCTATACATTGAATGTCTATAATATTTTTTTTTCCATATAATTACATATAAAGTGAAACTAATAACCTGAAAATTTAAAATTAAGGCAAGTAACCTCTACAGGAGGTTAAATTGGACTGATAGCGTAAAAGAATTTCATCCATAATCAGTGGATATAAGCAAAATTTATGTGATTGAATCTAACTTAAGGTACAATAGTAAAATGAACATATATGCAGGGAATATATGAACATACCTGAGTGCAAGTAACAGTTTGAAAACATCTAAGT